CTATAGAGCCATTTCGTGAGCTTACAAGAGCTGACAGGTTCTATCATTGGCGACAGGAGGGGGCATTTTGCACTTGGTGGCTAGACGAGCTTGCTCCAGATTCACAAGAGTTCACAGTTTTCATCAGAGTGAGACTTGTAAACCGGAACTAGTGAAGCAGCGAAAGTGCAAAATGCCCCCCCTCGAACTGAGAATACCTCAGGAAAATTAGCATCCTTCCCTTGGGGTGAAAGTAGTTGAGGGAGTCAGCAAGGTCAGGACCGAACCGTACCATTATCTTCTCGTCTGCGTCCTCTCAACCGAACAGTGCTAGTTTCTTTCTCTTCGTTACCGCCATCCATGGTCACTGATCGCGCGGGCGAGTCAAAATGGCCGTGGCCTGGTTCCGCCCACTGCCCACTCCAACTACCCTTGCTCAGCTTCATTCCTTTTCCAGTCTTTTTTTTTACTTCTTCCGCAATTTACACACTTCCCCCTCTCTCCTTCAAGCGCTGGCCCTGGTTGACGATATGAGTAATTAGACGTATAAGATGCTCCATGTTCTCTGTGGTAGTCCTTAAGGGAAATTGAACGAATGAATGAATAAAAATGCTGGGATGGGTAGCGTGAAGTAAAGGACCTACTTGTTTTGAATGTCTGAAATACGCTCTGGCTAAATTTCAATTTCTAACCCTCACAGAGCTCTATACTGTCTTATTACAGCGTCAATTAGCCATCCATGTAGAACGGACAATGGAAACTGCCGTCACATCTGTGTCCCTCAACAGTTCAGTCAACATACTTGCATGTGTGCGACAGGATATGCCAAGGTGAGCTAAAGCCTGTTATTACCCTCAACTTATTTTTTTACTTGCTTACAATATTTGCGCTAAATTTTCTGCTTGAGTTTTTCTTGAGATTTCTGAAAATCCTGTCCCCCGTTTCGCTTCTAATCACCTTCACCACATCCATTACGATGATTCCGCGAAAAAAAAAGATTGAGAACTTTCAATGGCACCTCTTCCGCCCTCTAGCAATTGTCTGAAAATCTCAAAATATGCTCCCTTTTGAAATTATTTTTTATTTCCTTGATGCTTTGTTCAGGATGGTCAGACAAGTTGTAAACTGTTCGACGAGTCATTCGTCATGGTGGCAACGAAAAGCAAGGTTGCCGGATATCCGTGAGTTGCCTGTCTTCATCAACATTTGCAAAACCTAAACTGAAACTCTTTTCAGCTTGGACGACTCACGTCAAAAGGGCATTGCTATGGATCCTATTGGAGGTCTATCGATCACATCGATCGATTACGAATTCGAAAGCAAGAGCATCTTTGTAGCTGAAGCGTCCGGTATCAACAAGGGTATCACCGCGTGAGTACAGAGATTTCCTTGAAAAACCGATATTTAGAACAAAAACTAGCCCTCTTTCCCAGAGACAAACAGGTGAGGAGGGGATCAGTCAGCGTTGAGACAGAATTGTACCCTTTTCTACCCGTCTGCACCCTATCGGCCAAACAGCGCTGGCTTCCTTACCTGCATCTATTCCGTCCTTATCCCTAGGGAGCGCGAGTGAGCAAACATGGTCGTGGTCTGATCCCGCCCATTGTCCATCCCCCTCCAACTGCCTTTGGTCCCCTTTTTATTCCTCCATTCCCAGTGGGAGTGGAAGCGATGTTGGCAAGCGCTAGTTCTTGAATTGCGAGCGCCCTTTGGCTACAGTATGCCATAAATGGCGATAAAAGTCCACAGTGCTCGGGGTTGAACAGTTCATTACGGAATGCCCCACGTCCTCAGCTTCAACTGTGAAGATGGAGGTATTTACAGTGCATATCCAAGAGAAAAGGATCCCTCACTGATCCGACTGCTGCGTGTCTCGCGCCGACCCTCCTCTTCTGCATACGCTCCTACCTCTTTTCTATCCAGACCCTCACAGACGTGGCGGAGCGTGCTTTGCGCCATTTTAGCGCCACTTATCCGAAGACTGAGTGCGCTGAAGAACAGTAAATGCACAGAGCAGCAACGAGAACCGTCAGACCTCCACCGTTTCCGTTCGAGTAATGAAAGCCTCACTGACGCAACCCAGTTAGCAGTGTGCAACTCTTGGGTATAGCACTTGGCGTGTTCATTCCGCCCTAACGTCGGAATTGGTCCATTACTGAAGTTTCAATAGCAGAAACTCTATTAAAACTTCAGTAATGGACCAATTCCGACATCCTGTGATATCCTCTGTAGGAGTACAAAGTTTCTACAACACTGACTTTCAAGAGAGAGCACGACGTCAGGTACCTTTAGGGGAGGTTCGGTGACGAGAGGTGGGGGGCATTTCGCACTTTTTATTTTGCATTCCCATCGACGTGTCGACCCATCTAGACAGACTCATCTCGAGGGTCTACCAGGATGGCTAACGAGCTTGCTACAGCTTCACAAGAACTCACAGGTTTCAACAGAGTGAGACTTGTAAACCGGAACTGGCAACGAAAGTTCAAAGTGCCCCCCCCCTCGTCGCCGAACTGCGCCGGGTCCTTATAACCACACCAGATCATTCAAATGAGACCTCTTCTCCCTCTCCCAAGGGTTTGCAGGAACCCGCTTCAGTTTCTTCTCTCTTGAGGAAGTAGAAGTGGGATTTCCACAAACAAAGACGTTTATACGACACGAATACGAAGACATTTCGCCTGCCACTTGCCTGGGAGAGTTCTGAGTAGGGTGAACTACTTTCAGTGGTGCAATCCCATCTTTATCAGAGTAATCCCGATTTCGCGTTAGCTGTCCTTTGAATGCATCCTTATTTCTAAGTAATTAGCCATTCAAAAGAGCCCTGGTTGTAGTTGGGTACTTCTAAAAGCTGCTTTCAGGTATACTATTGGTGAATCGGCCCCTCGACCAATAGTACGTGACACGTTCGGTTCGATGACGATCCGCAGTATCGCTGTCGATTGGATTAACTTCAATTTTGTATTTCATCAATCAGGATTCCGAAAGGACCAATATTGAAGTATGCAAATTGGATGGGCAGTACAGGTACGTGATACCTGCGCTTTATCACAGAAAGGATTGCCTCATCCTTCTTTCATGGCCTCAGAAGCCAGCTGGACCCTTTGATCAAGCCTCTTTTCCAGAAAGATTCTGTTCACGACCAAGACCGAAACACCCAGCTCGATCGCTGTGGATCCAATCGGCCGCTATCTGTACTGGGCCGATCAAGGGCAAAAACCCAGCATTCAGGTACGTTTGAAAGGATCTGCCACCCCCCCCCCCCCTCTTGCCCTCACGATGGAAAACTCAATCAGAATCCTTTGTTAGCGTGCGTCCTCGATGGAACTCGTCGGGAAGTCGTGGTCGGATCGGAGCATGTTGCTGAACCGACTGATGTGATTGTGGATCCAGCCAGTCGTATGGTCTACTGGGCCGACGCCAAGAAGGACGGAATCTACAGGTAATTGTTAGTTGTAAGCTTATTGGTAGTTATAAGCTAATTAGCGAAGGTCTAGCGGATTTTTATAGGATTCGCCCAAGCGGTGGCGTTCCGGAACTTGTCAGAGCTGATATTGCCTCTGCTGCTGGAATATCCCTCATTGGCCAGCAAATGTTCTGGACCGACAATCGTCTGGAGAAAGGTGTTCAGAGCGTCCAGGCTAGGTTCAAAGATAGATATGAGTATTATCAGATACTTTCATTTGTGGCTTTATTTCAGTAAACCTAATCCAAACCTCGCTGTTGCTTGCACCAACCACTGTAGCCGCATCCCTGAAGGATCTGGGTGATGTCGTCGTTTTCGCTTCGGAAAACCAACCAAAGGGCTCATCGCCCTGTCAGATCACAGATAACCTGCGCAAGAGCCCTTGTCCACAGCT